AATAAATAAATAAATAAGAAGACCTTTAAAGATGATAAACCTCAGTAGAATTTAATATTCAAATTTTCAATAGTCAAGCAACCTCTCAAGAGGTTGCCTTAAAGAAAGGGTGAGCTATGTCCTCTCCTCTCTGTGAGCAAACTGTTATGTTAATGATGCTTCACTCTCCTTGGCAGAGGCTAGAATAGTTCATGAAAATATTAACATTTTATGAGTGAGAGGCATCAGGAATAGAGCTAACAGGGACTTGGGCATCAAAAAGATCTGGGTTTGAGTTTAGCTCTGCTGCTGATTAACCTAGAACAAGTCATCTAACCTCTTGAATCCTCGATGTGCCCATCTGTAAATTGGAAGCTATTGTAATTATTATTATTGCCACCATACTTACATGTATTAAGTCCCAGCAATGGCGCTGCCATTTCCAACCTGGTAACAACGATGCCATCTTTTTTCTCCAGTCTCTTCGGCCCTGGCCAATACCAAAGACAGTCCTGTGTTCTTGGATTTCTTTGAAGATACTGAGCCCTACAGAACACTAGCCAACAAAGCCCTTGAGAAGTACAAAACAGAGAATAGAGATTTCAGTTCTTTCAGAGTGGACCAAGTGGAAAGAGTTTCAAGAGGGGTGAGTCTCTACTAATGTCCAACCAGAACCTAAATGCCTGGATTTCAACCTGGCAGGTGTGAACTCAGAGGCACTGACCCTGTCTACCTGCTACACTCAGTCTTTTAACTCAAGGCCCTTAAAAGTCAAGCCTTTTAAGTCAAGGCCAAGGTCCCATTGTGCATTTGGGGCTGTGATAGGCAGATACCAAACAACTGCCCTCCTACAAGGTGCTTTTTTTTTTTTTTGAGGGGGAAGGAGGATGATGATTTGAGGGAGAGGAAGGAAAATCCAAAAAGGAAAGAGGGAAAGACAGAAGAGCAATATTAGAATTACATGAGTTATTAAAACTCATCTGGTCCTTACTTCCTTGTATTACCATGGGAAACTCAAGACTCAGAGAGACCACACCACCACACCCAGTGATGTGGTTGGAACTAGACCGTTCTGCCACCTCCCAATAGAGAGACACTCCTGCCTCCCACCTGGAATTGTTTTTTTATAGAGTAGCTGGTTGAATGCAAAGTTAAATTGTGGTGCATACATACAATGGAATGAGCACAATACATTAAAAAGAACATTCTCAACCTACGTACACTAGAGTTTTACATTAAAGGAAAAGCAAGGTATAAAACAATACTTAGAATATGAACCCATTTGTATTAAATAATTAGATATATGTATATATGTGCAACACATCTAAGAAAAGGTTCAAAGAAAACAGGTCAAGTAAACAGCAGTAATACCACTGGGAAGGTATCACCACAGGGAGGGTCATATTTTGCTTGTTTAGGTCTGAATAACTTGAATCTTCCTAATAAAATGTTACTCATTTTATCACTTATGTGATTGAAAAAGGAGCTCTGGTGGCATAGTGCCTAAGGCATTTGACTGCTAACCAGAAGGCTGGAGGTTCAAACCCACCAGCCACTCCTCGGAAGGAAGATTGGGCAATCTACTTACGTTGAGATACCGCTTCAGAAACCCAAGGAGGGATGCCTATGAGTTGGATTCTACTAGACGGTAGTGCATTTGGTTTGGTGATTTAAAAAAACATAAGAAAAATGATGAGTATTGGTGATTTTGAATCCTCTTAGTGATTTACAGTTAATTGGTTAGAGGTATCTACTTTAAAAAAAAAAATGTGTATTTTCCCATTCTAGAGAGGAGGGGAAAGAACCAATTACTATGTGGACTTCTCCATGAGGAACTGCTCCAGACATCATTCTCACAGGCATTCTAATGTGAGTATAATGAACGTCTGTGAAATAATAAGTAACATTTAGAGAGCACTTACTATGTGCCAGGTACTCTTCTAAGTAATTTACTTATATATTAGCTTATGCCATCCTCACACAACCCTATGAAGTAGGTACTGTTTTCATCCCCAGTTTACAGGCGGGAAAACTAAGGCAGAAACATTAAGTGGATGAGAATAAGGCTCTGTATACATTATTTATAACTAAACATAAAAGCATGTTATTCAACCATTAGGATTAAAGGTCTAGCTAAAACTAACAACCAGCTTATATTAAGAACCTACACATGCAGGTGCTTTTCATTCACTCCTTTACATTTTCTCCTCATAATAATACTGTCTGACAAATGAGGAGGTAACTGAAAAACAAGGGTCTTGCCCAATGTTCCCAACAGAGCAGAGATTAGAATCCAGTTCTGAGTCTAAGCCAGTGGAATTTTTCTGTAATCATTTGTAAATCGATACCCAATCATCTGCAGGAAGACCTTATTAATAATTCCTGGCATTTGCATGATGACTTACAGTTTATAAAGCACTCCACATATATGATTGCCTTATTGCAGCTCCGTGACAAACCTGGCAAGGAAGAAAGGTCAAGTATCTGCCTCCATTTCCCCAGGACCTGAGGGCCTAGAAGTTTAACCAACTTACCTACAAGCAGCTAGAAAGTGTTAGGATACAGAATTGTAATTTCAAGTGCAGGATTTCTCAGAGGTTTAACACATTCTCCAGAAAAGAAGAAGGAAGCATTCACTAGTTATTTGCTGGCTGTTCAAATTTTCAACCTGAAGAAATTGTGGAATCCTACTTAGTGGCCAGTGTGGGTAACGTATATCCAATGCAGAAACATGGGGGCAGGAGAGAAGGCTGAGTGCTAAGTGCTTCACAGCATGATTTCATTTAATTAAGCTCTCCTTCAACCTGTGGGGAACATAGTATCATCCCCATTGAAACTAAGGCAAAGAAACTGAGTTTCAGAAACTTTATGTAACTTGCCTAAACTCATGTATCTATAAATTGTGAAGTCAGGATTAAACATAGGCTTTCCTGTCTGACTCCAAAATTGTACTTAGAACCACAATGTTTATCAGTCTCTTCTAGAAAAGAGCTTTCTTGCCCTAGTCAGACTATGGCAATTGGATTCAGGGGCCTTTGGGGCATAAAAAAGGAGTCTGGTGGTACAGTGGTTAAATTATTCAGCTACTAAACAAAAAAGGTCAGTGGTTCAAACCCACCAGCCACTCTGTGGGAGAAAGATGAGGCAGTTTGCTTCCATAAAGATTTACAGCCTAGGAAACCCTACAGAGCAGTTCAACTCTGTTCTATAGGGGCACCATGAGTTGGAATCAACTCGGTGACAGTGAGTTTGGTTTGGGACATAAGAGTGATGACCAGTTGCAAACTCCATGCTCAAGGTGGAGCCAGTAGACATATTCCTTGATAAGGTCCATGCAGACCCATCTTTACACTGGATCCCTCCTTTCCAACAGTTTGCTCCGGGGGCCAGTTAAAGTTGCTCAAGCCCCTCTTCTATACTGTTCCTCATTCTCTGCAGGCACAGGCAGGGCTGAATTGAATTGGCCCAAAGGTAAGGCAACAATGAAGTGTTGCTCCCCATCATCACCCATGGGGAAGCCCACTGCTGGCGATTGCACATGAAGAGAACACAGCAACTTATAACAGAACACTCTGCACTTTTCTCAAACTATCGACTAGGAAAGATTTTTAACTCTTTTCATGTTTGATCATATTAGCCTGATGTTTCTAAAACTCTTCTTCCTTTCACAAATGTCTGGAAGCTCATGACTGTAACTGACTGACACCTTCACAGCAACCTCTCTCTCTCTCTCTCTCTCTCTCTCTCTCTCTCACACACACACACACACACACACACACACACACACACAAACTCACAAATTCACTAACAGGTTTCTCTCTCCCTGATAGGTCTTTGGATTCTGCAGAGCAGATTTTTCATATGATGTAGAAGTCTCTGACTTAGAAACCCCAAAAGATCTTGTTGTTAACTGTGATGTCTTCAACCTTGAGGTGAGCTACTATCAAACTAGCCTTTATCACAAGCAGGCCAAGTGACATTTGTCATACATTATGTACTTGATTCTTACAGACTTCTATGTATATGTGTGTGAGAGAGAGAGAGGGAAAGGGAAAGAGAGAGTTGGAAAGAGTGAATGCGTTTGTGTGTGTCTATTCTCTACTACAGAGAAGGAGTTTTGCCTAATGATACCTTATGAGAAGTAGTTCTGCTAGAAAATGTGGAACTAAAGAGAGAGAGAAAAAAAATCGATAGAGGAGAGCAAGTCCCTGGGGAAAGAAATACAATTGCTGTCAGAGCACTATAAAAACCTTTTACAAGAATGGAGAAGGGGTGATATTTTGACCAAAAAATAAAACCATGAACAACTCGATCAATTTGAAATGAGTTTGGGGGGGGGGGGATAAAAAGGTCCTTGTACTCAAGACTCCATTGCTGAAACCTAATAATTGTTAGCTTTTATTATTAGGCGTAGAACCTAGCCTAAGAGGAATTGTTGTTGTTGTCATGTGCCATCGAGTTGGACCCGACTCTTAGCGACCCCTCCTTGGGTTTCCGAGGCAGTATCACTACAGAAGTAGGATTGCCTCATCTTCCTTCCAAGGAGTGGCTGGTGGGTTTGAACAGCCAGCCTTCTGGTTAGCAGTCAAGTGCCTTAGCCACTATGCTACTAGTTTTCAATATATTATATAAAGGTATGTAAAATAAGGTGCAAAACAATATTTTGTTCCAGAAAGCTTTATTCTGCTTTATGGATGAGCATAAAAATGTTCTTCACAGTATTTTTTTATATTAGCAAAAAATATGAAAAAGAGTCCAAATAGCCATGTGCCAAGTCCCTCATCCCCCCACAAAGGGCATATTAGTTACCATGAACATGGCTCAATAAATTTGTTAAAAATTGAAATATGAGTAAGGAGGAGAGTGAAGAAGAGAATACCCTCCTTCAAGAGGAAGAGATGAAAAGATGCTTATAGCACAAAGTCTTAGAGCTCTATTGAGAATAGATTAAAAGGCATTAGTTTCCAGATATTGGTCAGCAGATGGATGCCATTTCATAATATAGTTTCACCATTTATGTTGAAATGAGAAAGTAAGGATAACAAAGGAAGTTTTTCATAATATAACATTTATTCCATCAAAAGAACCATTCTTTACTCTGAGATTGTCTTTCAAACCCATTAGTTGTCAAAATGTCTTTCCTTTCGTGAAGTAATGATGGTGATACCTACCAAACCAAACTCACTGCCTTCAAGTAGATTCTGACTCATAATGACCCTTTAGAGCAGAGTAGAACTGCTCCATAGGGTTTCCAAGCTGTAAATCTTTACAGAAGCAGACTGCTTCATCTTTCTTCCATGGAACAGCTGGTGGGTTTGAACTGCCAACCTGTTGGTTAGCAGCCAAATGTTCTAACCACTATGCCACCAGAACTCCATATGATGATGGCAGATGAAAATTTATGTTTGTCTTTTGTATTTTTTTTAATGCCAACTTGGGTAGATAAAAATTTGACAACCCTTTGTTGGTATCCCTCTTTTTAGATTGATTTGTGGAATCCAAAAGTTTGAGGACTATTAGTCTAAACATCTAACTTCTTCTTTTGTGTTAGCTGATGTTCTTCACTTTTGCATGTCCTTTCCCAGGAACATAGAAGCTTCAGTGGCAGACGGTACCATTTGGGCCATCCCTTCCACTCCAGTGAGAATGAGCATCCTCCTGCTGGCAGACCTCCATTTAAGCCTGATAGATCCAGATACCACCATCATCCCCATAAGCTACAAGAATCTGGATGCCCACCTCCCCTAGAAGACAAAGATCATCCACACAGAGGAGATCCTCCACATTTACCTCCTTCAGGGTCAAGATGTCACCAATGTCATCACCCTGTTTTTGGCCACAATCAGACCCATGGACCCTCCCATAATCATAATTCCAGTAAGAACCATCCCCATGAACATCATCCCCATGGACAACATCCCCATGGACACCACCCCCATGGACACCACCCCCATGGACACCATCCTCATAAGCATCACCATCCTTATAAACATCATCCCCATAGAAAATATCCCCATAGACATCATCCCCATCATGATTTCCAGGACCATGGACCCTGTGACCCACCACCCTATAGCCAAGGTCCCCAGGATCACCATCACCATGACCTGCCACCTAGGCATTCAGAAGAAAGAGGCTTGGGTAAAAGACCCCTTCCCGTCCATTGGAGACAAATTGGATATGTTTACCGACTCCCACCACTAAACAAAGGTGAAGTTCTTCCTCTTCCTGAAGCTAATTTTCCCAGGTGCTTATTGCCAAACCAGAACAATCCTTTAAAGCCAGAGATTCAGCTCTTTCCTCAATCAGCCTCTGAATCATGTCCAGGGAAGTTCAAGGATGAGTTTCTACACCTCTCAAAGTTTTTTGAACATACAACTCCAAAATAAAATCTGATTGAAAAATGTGAGTAATGTTCAGAATCAGAACTATAAATTTAACACGACCAGTAATAAATGCAAAGATTACAAGTTATTTTAACCTTACTTTCATACAGAATAGGGTAAGATGTAGATGATGGAGAAATTGGTGCAAGGAGAGAGAAGGAAATGGAAAGGAGAGGAAAGATCTCAGAGCTACAAATCATAGTTCATCCTGTCATATCATTTAAGCCAAATCTCTAATCCTCAGAATTTCTTTCTTTCTTGGACTTAACTCCTTAACTCTAGAATTTTTCTGTATTACTGATTATGCTATATTTGGATATACCAAGAAAGTATATATCACTTAAAGGATTATTCTTATAAATGTTACCCAAATTCTCTCCCATTAGTTATTTCTTGTCCTCTAAATTTTCTTTGAATAAAATAAGTCATAAGTCCAATTACGAATCATAATTATTTTGGCCTCCCTGGATGGATTTTACCTTTCTTTCCTTATCACTCAACCAGCCAATTCTATAGTCAAACACTGGTGGAGAGCCATGAATCATGACCATAAATTCAGGTGCGCAAGAAATCTTACTGCATTTTCAGAACAAATTCATTTCTATTTCAGGTTACTATCGTGCTGGGATCATGGGAAACTTAATCCCAGTCCTTTTTGGAGTCCTCTCACCTTGTCATACCCCAAATAGTTCTAGAATCTCACATAGTGGCAAGATCTTTTGTGGGGGACATTGGCCTGATCATTGGCCCACCAGGTCCTCCCTGCTAAGGGACAGCCACAATATTCTTATCACATCTTGGGTCTGGTTTATCTGCTATGTCTGTATCAAATTGGGGAGATAGGAGTCTCTGTGAGACTACTAATGGGCATGACTGCCAAAATATACCATACAACTATTTTCCTTCTAGCATCTTGCTGCCTTCCAGATTACATGCCCAAAAAGTAGAGCACAGTGTTGTCTGCTTCAGAAAACACCAGGCCCCTCTGCTCTGCTCATCTTTTCTCCCTGGGCTAGGTACTTTCTCTCTAGTCTCAGATAAGTCCTTTTAGTGCACTTTGGGGTCAGAGGACACTTTATTCACACTGTAATCCTCTATCTTTTCCTTTCTTTCCAAACCCAGGTTCAAGTCTTTAGAAACAGGCCAATAAGACATCAGGTTATCTCTACCTTCCAGCTAGGGTGGTGACATTCAAAATATTTAAAAATCAATATGAGCAATCAGACCAGATGTAACAGCCAGTCAGAATAGTTACTAGACACACTAACTGTACCAGCTAAAAAGGCTGACTCTGCAGAAACATACCCCTTCATGGTGGTATGAATGCAGGGTTGACTGAACAGGGAGCAGAGAAAGGTAAAGGCCAAATCCAAAATCAAAAAACCAAACCCAGCGCCACCAAGTCAATTCTGGCTAATAGCGACCCCCATTGGGTTTCCAAGGTGATAAATCTTACAGAAGTAGATTGCCCTATCTTCCTTTCACAGAGCAACTGGTGGGTTTGAACCACTAACATCTTATTAGGAGTCAAATGCCTTAGGCACTGTGCCACCAGAGCTACTTAACTTCCAAGTCCAGGGAGGCCTGCCCCCCCCCAAAAAAATAGATTAATATCTTAAAATATTATCTTCTCACAGAAACATTTGAGTAGCATGTTATCGTTTATAAAGTACTGTTAAAACATTGCTTAAGTTGATGAAAATATCGTTTAGAAAACATAAAAGTTGAAAACTCAATTCATTTCAAATGAATGCATTCATAATATATGAACACAATTGCTTCAGGGGAAAAGCAGTGTAATAAACAATCCTTACCCTCAGGGAGCTTACATTCTACTAGAGGTTTTAGACAATATACTATTGATGGCTGCTTTTCTAGATTTCTGTGTCATGATGGCCAAAAAGTTATGATTGTTTGCTTATAAATCTGTATTTGATCTATTTCCAAAGGTGATATCAACAGGGACAATATAGTATTACTACCTCCTTGAATATCTAAAACGCAAACTCCTTATTCTCCAGAAAGTACTCCAAAAAATTTCTTCATCTACTTCCCAATATCACCCTTTCTGTAAGTGTACCATTTTTTCAAGTCTGACGGACAAGAAATTTTTGTTGATTCTTCCTTTTCCTCTATCCCCAAGACTATCTGGCCTTTGTTTTGTTCATTAAAGTGCCTAACATACTAGGTGCTCAAGAAATGTTTGTTTAATCAATGTGTACGTTAAGCATGTATTGTGAGTCAGGAGATTTTCATATGTTATGTAATTTAATCCTTACAACTCTCTTATACAGGTAATATTGCATTAGTAGGCCAGCTGCTGTAGCAAATAAGCTTAGTGGATTAACAACACAGAATTTGATTTCTCTCTTAAGTAACAATTCAGTGTGGGTTATTTGCTGATGGCCCTCCATATGGTGATTTGGGGTCTCAGTCTCCTTCCATCTTGTGGCTTTGCCCTTCTCTTGGGCCTCAACATTTTATGCTTGATCCTCTGTATCTAGCCTGCATGGGGAGAGAGTAGAGGGCCACAAGACTGGTTTTTATGAGCCAGACTTGGAAGTGGGATACATATGTTAAGCTCACATTTCATTGGCCACACCTAATACTAGGAAGTGGAAGTTCTGGTAGCGTAGTGCCTAAGGCACTTGACTGCTAACCAGAAGGCTGGCAGTTCAAACCCACCAGCCACTCCTCGGAAGGAAGGTTGGGCAATCTATTTCCGTAGAGATACCGCCTCGGAAACCCAAGGATGGGTCGCTATGAGTTGGGTCCGACTCGAAGGCACAAAACAACAACAACAATACTAGGAAGGATGGTAAATGAAATCTAGCTGTATGCCAAGGAGGAAAGGAAAATGGATTTGATGAATAACTAGCCAGTCTCTACCCCAATCACCATTTTTTAGAGAATAAAGATTAGACTCAAAGAAGACCTTGTAGTTAATAAATTGAAACATCTGCCTTGACTGTTCTCTTTCAACTCTTCCTGAACCAAGCCCCGTCAGTCTTTTCCTCACTCTCCAAGCTTCAGTTTCTCCACCTCTGCTGGCTTCCCTTTTCTGTCATTGTAAGAACTTCCACACTTAATGTTTTTTTTCTTCTGCTCATCTTTTCCCCTGCATTCATACCATCATGGAGGGGTATGTTTCTGCAGAGTCAGCCTTTTTAGCTGGTACAGTTAGTGTGTCTAGTAACTATTCTGTTTGGCTGTTACATCTGGTCTGATTGCTCATATTGATTTTTAAATATTTTGAATGTCACCACCCTAGCTGGAAGGTAGAGATAACCTGATGTCTTATTGGCCTGTTTCAAAAGACTTGAACCTGGGTTTGGGAAGAAAGGAAAAGATAGAGGATTACAGTGTGAATAAAGTGTCCTCGGACCCCAAAGTGAACTCCGGTAGCATAGTGCCTAAGGCACTTGACTGCTTACCAGAAGGCTGGCAGTTCAAACCCACCAGCCACTCCTTGGAAGGAAGATGGGGCAACCTACTTCTGTTGTGATACTGTCTCAGAAACCCAAGGAGGGGTTGGTATGAGTTGGATCTGACTGGATGGCACATAACAATAACAACAACAACATTTGAGACTAGAGAGAAAGTACCCAGCCTAAGGAGAAAAGGTGAGCAGAGCCTTCTCCTTTCTCACCTTCTACCATCACCATGTACCTCAAACTGTTTCAGTAAAACAGGAATTTTTAACTATCCCACTCTGATAGCAGGTATAATTTATAAGAACTGATTACTGGGCTCTGTGTATTTCCATTTAATATAGGTACTATTTCCCACATTTTGCAGGTGAGGAAACTGAGGTTTAGAAAGGCCAGGGTTACATAGCTCTTAAATATTTAATTAAGAAACAGAATTAGATCAGAATCCAGATTGAATTCACTGCCCAGTTCATGTTCCTGCCACTTGGCTTCAAGGCCACCATTCAGCCTACATTGACCCCTTTTGTCTGCAAGCTCTCAGAGACACTGAATCTCCAAGCTACAAGAAATCCCTATCAACAACAACAAAGAAATTAACCAGGTTTTTTGTTTTTTGTTTTTTGTTTTTTTCTGGTAAGAACTGAGGGCAAACATCTCCCCTGGGCTAACCCGAGTCTTTAATCTAGCCACAGACCTTCTCTCCCTGAATAGTTAAAACTTTATCAAAAAGTCTGTTTAGGCCTACGAAGGGAAAGACACCCACATCTACCTTCACAGAAACAAGAAACAAGGGTAGGAGCTCAGAGCTTTAGCCCATCTGTGTGTAGGCTTCTCCTCTGTCTCCTCTCCGGTGGGAAGCTTTTTTGCTTTATAGAACTAAAGCCAAGTGGAAAGGGGATGGATGGGTCAGAGACCAGACAGGATGGTCATATTTTATTTTTAGTTGCACCGATGTCTTAGTTTGGGACTCCCAGCACTCACTTCATGCCTCTGTGCCTGGGCTTCCCCAGGCATGCAGTATGATTGATAGCTTGTTTCTATGCAAATATCCTGCAAGGAAAGTCTATGGGAAAGGTGTTTCTGCACAGTGGACACTTGCATTGTTGTTACTTCCAGGGACCTTTTTAAATGGCTTTGGGAAAGTCATAAGGAAATAACTATGCTAATTCATGTTTTTTTTTTTTTTTTCTTCTTCTCCCTTATTAGATACTGCTCTCAGTTAGTCCATAAAGCATGTTGTGCAATCACATGGAAAAAATGCTCTGCACCCTCCCCTGTACTTTTAGAATGCAAACAGGCGGGTCAGCAACCCCAGTGTTGTAATGTTCCAACCCGAAATCTGTTTGGATAACCCAGCAGTGTCTTTTGTCCTTTTGGAACAGAGCAAACAGTGTATGGCAGCAGGAGTCCAAGCAGGGCCCCGGAGTGCTGAGGCAGGGAAAGAAGAGGGTTGAGGAGATAAGGGGTTGGAGACGACTCTTGATGGAACCACCCCTCAGCAACTAGAAGGAAGAGTGTTAAATCATGAAACTAATCACCATCATTTTCTTCTGCTCCAGGCTACTCCCAAGTTTCACCCAGGAATCCTTCTCGAATGATATTGACTGCAACAACCCGGACGTTTTTAAGGCTGTGGATGCTGCTCTGAAGAAATATAACGATCAAAACCAAAGTGGTAACCAGTTTGTATTATACCGAGTTACCCAGGTCACCAAGACGGTGAGTGAGCTGTGTGTGACCTTGAGGTCATTTGGGATTGGTGGTATCTCACCAAATCCAGGCCTTTGCTTTCCTCACTGTCCACCCCCAAGACTTGATAATAATCAAAGGTTATACCTTGGGAAAGGCCAAACTCTGATCCGGGAGGGCAGCGTTTGACTAGCATTTGATTCATCCTGGGTCCACTAAGGCTGGCTACCTAGATGATCAGAAAGGAAATCTCCTCAGGTGAAATGAAACAAAAATAAAGGAAATAAAAAGGACTAAGCAGAATGGGAGATCCAGGAAGTCCGGCAGGCTGCAGCAAGAGGATTCACTGAGTCATGGCCCTAGACTAAGACATGAATAAAGGCCGGCAGACCTCAGGAGTCCGAAATGAGATTAATACAGTTGTATGCATCAAGTTTAACATGTTTTAGTTGGTGTTTAATATTTTTTAGCACCGCAATGATGCACATTCAATGATCCTGGCAAGATGCATGGTACAAAGAAATACAAATCTTTCAAATGTTTGTTTAAATGAATTTCACTATAAAGAGTTATGTGTCTGGAATAGTAAAGCCGTTTGTTATTTCAGCGGGGAGGAAAAAAAAAAAAACTATAGTGCCTAAGGTATTTGACTGCTAACCAGAAGGCTGGTAGTTCAAACCCACCAGCCACTCCTCAGAAGGCAGGTTGGGCAATCTACTTCAGTAGTGATACCTCCTCGGCAACCCAAAGAGGGGTCGCTATGAGTAGGATCCACTCGATGGCAGTGAGTTTGTTTTTTTTGTTTTTTATTTAACGTCAAGGTGATAAAGAAAAAAGCCACAGTGGATATGTTTTTACTTTTTTTTTTTCTGAAAAAAAAAAATATGCCATTTTGTTTTACAGTCTAGTGTCTTCATGAGAGGAGTTCTGAATTCGTAAGTTCTAGATGAGACTAAAATGACCCTCTAGTCTTCTGGGCTCTCACATGATTGTTGGTTTTGTCTTGACTTGCTGATATTTGTGACAAATGTGATATTTTGTTCTAAAATATCCATATAACCAATTCTTTGTCATCACTCACCCCTGTGGGTACAGCCTATACCACAACCACCTAGTGCTTTACAGACCTAAAGGATCAAAATCTGAGACCTGGAAGGAACCTTCGAGATTATCTTGTTTGACTCCATTATCTCCCAGATGCAAATACTGTCATCCAGCAGGTTTTTTTGTGTGTGTATGTGTGTGTGAGAGAGATTGAATGATTTATTTATAATTTTACATAGTAAACTACAAGAACCTCTTAATCAAATTAAATAATCATGAACCTTTGTACTCATTGCTGCAAGTGTGTGGAATCTGGCACACTCAGGCACTGCTGAGGAAGTATCAGTTAGAGCTTTTCCAGAGAGGAGTTTGGTAATATATGTCAAAAGCCTTGAGAATGTGTACACTCTATAGCCCAGCAATTCCTTTTCTACAGGTTACTCCAAAACAATTATTCATGTTGTGCCCTTTATTTTAGCAAAAATCAGTTGGCAATCTAATTACTGAATAAAAAAAGTTCAATTACATATATAGATACATATGTGCAATGAAATATACAGATACATTTAAGATAATGTAGACATACACTTTATGTCAATATATGCAATCAAAAATAAAAACAGATCATAAACATGCTAGCATAATCCCACTTCCATTATATAAATATACACAATTTTGTCTATGTACATCTGGAAGACCACATACAAAATTGTTAATAATTATCTCTATGTGGCACCATTGTAAGTGATTTTTTTTCTTTGTTTTGATTTTCAACAGTTTGATTTTTTTCTAACAAAGACCGTGCATTACTTATGAATTTAGAGAAAAAGTAATAATTGTTATTATATTGAAAGTAAATTATTATTTTCTGTACACTGGATTTTGTGGTTAATATTAAGTACCACAACATAGCAGTACGTTTTTGCATTTTTTTAATTCTTTTCTTCCTAAATATTTAAATTTTAATTGCAAATGTATTTAATCAAAAATTTATTCTGAAAATAAAATGGAAATTATAATATTACATTTTCTGTGTTATAAATTCCTTAAGAAGTTGACAACATACTCCACAAGATTGATGACTAAGTTCTAAACTGGTTACAAAAATGCTAATAACATGAACTTAAATCTGTTTCTTTATTATTTTTAATCTTATTCCTTATTTCAACTCTTAAACCCTCCCCAATTTTCTTCTTGTTATTAGTTGCCACTGAGTTGATTCTGACTCAAGGTGACCACATGTACAGAGTAGAACTGCACGTGTTTTTTTTTTTTTAGTCTTTTACTTTTCCTGTAGGTTTTTGTTTGTTTGTTTGCTTGTTTGTTTTTATTTTTTAATAGTGATTTGGGTGAACTTTTACAGAGCAAATTCATTTTCCATACAGCAGTTCACATACACTTGTCTTGTGACATTGACTGCAGCTTCCCACAATGCAACAGCTCTCATCCCACTTTCTCCCCATAGTTACCTCTTCCCTGTGTCCTTCCCTCCCATGTACATTTGTCCCCCGAGCAATCTCCCTGTGCATACACAGCCCTTCTATTGTCCCATGATTAATGTCTCCAAGGAGTGTATCTACCTAAGGTAAATGTTCAGCTCATATGCTGGTCTTGTATTTGGCTGGAAGCCACAAGAGTTCAATTCCAGACCTGTGGAGGGCAGCTAGGGGCCGTAGTCTCGAGGGTTTCACCAAGGCTCTATCAGAACAGCAACACTGGTCTTCTTCGTCCCCTCCCACTTCTCCTTCTCCTCCTTCTTTCTTCTTTTTCTTCTTCTTTTTTTTTAATATAATTTTGAGTTTTGTTCCACATTGTTCTCCCATTCTATCCAGGATCTCCTACACAAGATCCCCCCTCCAAGTGGTTGACAGTGGTAGTTGGCCACCAGCTAGTTCTTCTGGTCTCATGGTCATATAGGCAGAGGATCACGCAGTCTACCAGTCCCTTGGACTAATTGTTTCCATGGGTCTTTGGTTTTCTTCATTCTTCTTTGTTCTGGACAAGGGGAGATTCATCGTTGCATCTAGATGGCCATTTGCAAGCTTTTAAGATCCCAGTTGCTACTCAACCAAAGTAGGATGTGGAACAATGTTTTTGTGTAGTATGTTATGCCAATTGAGCTTGAAGTCCCCTGTGACCATGGTCCCGAGCCCACAGGTACAACTACTCGTTCCCTCTGGGTAGCTGGCAGTGGCCAAGAAGTCACCACAACCTTGTCCTTTGTCAGCTCTACTACATACCTGGACATTGTTACAGAACATACAAATACGCTTCTAGAAACATTGTCTACCAACCCTATATATGGTCATGAGCACACTCCCCCATGCCTAGACATACCTGATTGTTTAGCCTGTCCACCAATCTATCCACCTGTAGATCAATGTTTGCCATAATTGACAACACAGTACTGTATGTGCAAAAGGGTTCATCTTTTTTGAACCATGTACCTCTTTATGTCTTCCTCTTTCTTAATGCCACCGTGTTGATCACTCATATTTGGTACATTGCCCTTCCCTTCATCCAAATCAATACTTGTCTCTACCTATCTAGCAGTCTTCCCTCCCTTCCCCTCTCACTCTGGTAACCAACAAAGAAAGTTTCCTTCTGTATATAAACCTTTCCTTGACTTTGTACAATAAGGGACTAATATAATATTTGTCCTGTGATTGACTTATTTCACTCAGCATAACATCCTCCAAGTTCATCCATGTTATGCGGTGTTTTGAAGATTCTATGCTATTCTTTAGTGTTGTGTAGTATTCTGTTGTGTGTATGTACCATAGTCTGGTTATCCATAATTCTGTTGGTGGGCACCTACATTGTTTCCATCCTTTTGCTATTGTAAATAATGC